CTCGTCGCACGTGTTCGCCTCTTGTTGTTTACGTTGCCTCTCGCTGCGCGCGCTCGCCTACCGTCACTCGCTGACTCCGCCTATATCAAATGTCTACGTGCGTACTGCGGTCGCCCTCCACTCTCTACGCGCTCGTTGGCTCACATGTTTTAATTAATAACTCGATAACTATTGGCAATTTGACATTATGATACATGACTTTTCTTCTCGACTACATCCAATCTATCTCCAACTTTCGTCTGCATGATCAGCTATCAAACACCCTGTATATACGTGTGTGTGTATGTAAACTATAAAGTGTATAAACTAAAAAAAAGAAATATTAAATTGGAAAGAATAGCAATATATAATAATCGAAAAAAATAATAATATATTAAATTAAAAAATTAATTGTTATTGTTATTTTCTCCTTGGTTTTTATTGTTATTATTGCTGCGTTCCTTTGCTCTTTGTAACCACTTTTTAATTGCTTCTTCGCAATCTTTATTGGTGAAGTTTGGAATACTCTTTTTAGTAGAACCTGTAATATGTTAAAAACAAATTAACAATTAGAAAATTGTATATAGATAATATATTTATTTAAATTATTTATGTTTTATTTGTTATATATTTTTATTTATATTTATTTATTATATATTTTTTAATATTTATTTTTTTATTTTAATTGATATATAATTATCTTGACGTTTTGATCAGTCTAGTTCCTCATCAGTATGATTTTTATTCCTTGATATTATTATAATTAATGCAAATTTAGTTTTTAAATAAGTTATTAGTAAGAAACGTGATATTTCTAACAGTGGAATTTAAAGATTAAACAAAATCTTTTTCTTTTAATGACACATAGAAACTCTTTAATTTCTTACCAACTGATGAAATTTCGTTTTGGTCATTTGACATTGATGAGCAGCAGATCAAAAAAAGGAAGTAACTGATGAAATTATTCAGTAACGAATCATCGAAATCACACGATTCACTACGGACTTATATAATAATTTAAATTGAAATATAATAATTTAAATTGAAAATATTTAATAATTATAAAGCGCAGGAAATTTTGCACTAAGTTCAAAATATATCTAAATATACAAAGTATAATTTGATATATACACTATAGTATATATATCAAATAATACATAATATATTTAGTTATAATACCAAAAATAAAAATAACTAACAATGTCGTACATGTCCATGTACGAACATCCATTGGACGTACAGTATATATCCATACATTAATTATATAAAGTGGATTTCAAATGGATGTCCACTGGATGTACGTTTATTATTAGTCAATGTACGTACTTATATGGACGTACAATGGACAACTATTTTATGTCCATGGATATATGAACGTAAAATGGGCGTAAAATGAACGTCCATAAGACGTACTGCGCTATTTGGGTAGTACTCAGAAATATAGCAAACATATTTCAAATATACGAAAACTCGCCGATTTCAGGCAAAACTCATTTATTTACTATCCATACAATATTCCTATGTCTACAACTTTAACAATGCATACTCTGAACAACATAAGAATTATTTTATAATGTTCCTAAATACGCGAGGCGGGCCTACGAGCGACGAAATATAGAAGAAGTCTATAGCGCGAGATTCCCGCGGCCGGCGGAGTTAGCTATATGTATCGCTCGGCGAAGACAGATACAACAGACATCGTCTGCTCTTGTCTAAAACCCGACGCCGGCCGATGCACCGAACGCTCACGGACACGGAGTCGCTCGTTGTGTGCGCTATCCCTCACGCGCTGTGCCTGCTACCGGAGTGCTTTTCTGGCATCACTGGTTGTGGCACTTGGCAGCTATTGACTAGTCTGTTGAGTCAAAAAGGTTAGTAGAACTGATGTTTGTAGAAAAGAACGTAGAAAACCACAAACCAATCAAAATTCGCTAGACAGAGATAGAGATGGTACCAAATCAACCTATCTCTTTTTTTGGTGGCCGGTTTTCTCAAGAGGGCCATTCTCGTTCCAGTATAGTATATAGTTCACTGGCCATTCTGCACTCCTCTTTTCACCTTTCCCCTCTACCCTCCTTCCTCCTTTGCAATTTCCTCCTAGTTGTTCCCTATACTCTCCTCTCCTGTTTCCTACACTCGTCTAGTTCCCTCTATCCTAGTACCTTACTCCTGTTTTCTCCATATAGTTTCCTCTCTAGCTCTTTCTCACTCTCCGGTCTTACCTACACTGCGACTTCCTATCCTACCTAACCTCTCTTTCACCTCTCACCTTTACCACCGCTCCCTTCTCTCCCACCCCTCCTTCCACCCCACCCTTATACCTCCACCTGCCTCACTTCCCTGTTCCCCCTCTCCCTTCACTTCCGCTCTTCTATCATTCTCCCTTTTCCCTTTTACTGCCACTCTACCTCACTCTTTCTTTCTCACACTCACTCTCAGTCGCTCCGGAAACGGAAGTCGCTACTTCACAACATATAATATATATTATATTATATATTATATATTATATATTATACAGGGTGAGTCAATTAAAGTGTTACAGACTTATATCTTGGAAATGAATAATTTTAGAGAAAAATGTTTCAGACAAAAGTTGTATGGTGTCAAATGGGACATAAGAAGGTATCATTGATTAGACCTTGATTAGCCATTTGAAGGTTACGTGAAGGTCACCAACAATTTTTCAAATGGAACGTCCTACTTTTTTTGGCATATTTTTATAACGTATTTCAAGAGCTTTCCAAAACACTACAACAAAGTATTTTTTGTTAAGTACATCCCGAGTTATGAAGCTACAAATTTACAGTATCGTCGGCATTGGCATTACCCAAGGTGTACCGCGTGGAGGTTGCACGATCGGATTTACACCTCTTGTGTGCGTGCGTGCGTGTATTTATGCGTGTGCGTGTGCGTGTGCATGTGCGTGCGACACGCACATGCACACACACATACACAAGGTCAAGTCAATATTTTTATCATGTGTCCCCCTTAATATCCTACAACGTTATGACATATTTAATTAAATACGTCGATCTTCGTCGAAATATTACATTTTGAAATTTAAAGATATTTGATAAAACACACGGAAATTGGTATAAAGCAACGGCGAGATTTTATGCATAGAAATGGAACTGGCAATTAAATGGAAATGTTAATTTTTCTTTAATCGCGATTGCAACGCGGAGTGGAAAACTTTCAATGTTGGCGTACGGGATTGTATTCTGCTGCAAAAGTTAAATTAATTAAAATAAATTAATTAAAATATTCGAAATAGAAAAAAAGGTTGCTCCTAGTTATTCGGCTTTTCCAACTGTATCTAAACTGTATCTTTATTTTCGAAATTTTAATTCGAGTTTCGCTTTAAATCGCTGTAGCCTCATTGAGAAACTTTGAGAAACATTGAGAAACCTCTTTGCACATATGGAAAACAGAAAACCGCCATTGTCGTAAGAATTCCGCGGAAGTCGACCATATCGAATTACGTCGAATAATACATTCCCTTGTCTTATCCCATAGGGTGCAAACTTCATTGTTCTCGGCCTTCCCTGTCAATTTTTCGCATGTCCGATGCTCTGGAGTATATCATGGATGGTGATTATAGTTCACAGCATGCTCGATAACGAAGGCGCGTGCGGTTAACAAGTTGACCGTACTTGCCAGAGGAGGAGAGGGCGAGGACGTAGCGTTAAATAATGTAAAATTTCATTTCAGCCTGCCTCCTCGTCATCGACGGCGGCGTCAGCGACGGCGTGCCGTTGATTCGATATTCCCGTGAAACATTTAACGTTCGTGGAATTTCCCATGCGATTTCCCACACCGGGCGCGTACGGGCTAGTTGTACTCGTTCGCAACCAAAACCTCGCGCGTGTTCGTCGATTGCTAGAAAGGTAGTGTCGGCCAAGAAAGATTAAGGGGGAATAGGGACTTCAAGAAGCCAGGGAACACGTCCTCTTTTGCTTCGATTCGTACCTCGAATATGCAACGAGATAGAGAGAGAAGAAAGCGAACAGTGTACCGAAAAGAAAGGAAAAAATTGTTCTCGCCAGAGGGCCATGCCAAAGACAGATACATACTCTGCCATGCGTTCGCTAATTTTCTTCCGTTTCCCTGTTTAATGTAACATTCTATCCTTTTCTTAGAAGAACAAGTGAAACAATGGCACGAAACTGGTTGAATGAGCAGAAGAAAATGCTAGCAGGTTATGGAAGCTGGTGAAACAGAGAAAAGTGAGGAAGAATGGATAGATAGCAGCTGAGTCGAGGTAGGGAGGAAGGAGTTAGAAAGAGAAGATTAGAATGCTAGTGAGCCGCGCTACGGATTAACGAGGCGTCTCGGCGCGCACAGCAACGGCGATGCACTTGCCGGATATCCTGTGCGTCCGGACGGTTCGTGAGATATTCAACGAAGCAAATATCCGGACAGATTATACGATTCTCCTTTTTCGTCCCAATCCTTTTCCGTTCCCTTCTTCCTTCTTACATTCCTTACCACTCACGGTCTCTCCACCATCCTTTTCTACTTCCCTCTCATTCTCTCTTTCTCTCTTCCCTTACCGGAACATTTTATACGAGCGTACAAATTTCGTTACGTGATATAAAGAGACCCGGAGCTTACTGATGGTACGGGTGCGAGTTCGCAGCATTCGTTGCGCATGGGCAAAATTCAAAAGAATCCACCGACAGGTTTGTCAGCTGTGACTGAGCGAGAAGAAGTTAATAAATAGATATTGTCCTGATGAAATTATTGCGTGAGTTTCTACTGAAGGCAAGAGAGAGAGAGAGAGAGAGAGAGAGAGAGAGAGAGAGAGAGAGAGAGAGAGAGAAAGAGAGAGAGATTAATTTTACCGCGAATTTAATTCATTGTCCTGGCTGTATCTGTTCATTTTGTGCTTCTTTCTTCTTTCGGTCGTTGTCGTCATTGTTCGCACAACAAATGAGATGTGAAAAGTTTATAAATACGAGTAAAAACTCGAATGTGCCCTGAAGTTTAGAGACAATAAATTTAAAACTAGACGGACGTACCTGGTACTGTTGAAGATTTCGTTCAAAGCACATCTTAAGGAATGTTCATCCAGGTTATTGTATGAGAGTATGCGTGCGACACCCCTGTTTTCCGCGGCAGCTGCATTGTGAAATTGATCACCGTACAGCGGTATCAAGACCATCGGTATACCCACGTAGACACTTTCTGAAAGACCAAGAAGCCCGCCATGGCCCATATAACATTTGATGTTCGGATGATCTGAAATATAATAAAACAACAATGCGACATGTAATAAAATAATATTCAACTTTAATAATAAACAAACACAACAATTAAAATATTAACATAAAACTGCAAAACTCGTCAGGATAATAAACGAGTCTTGAGAGTAACTCAGAAATATAGCAAAACAGCGTTGCAATATATAGGGAATCCGGTAATTAGCTGCTAACCCGAAGTGTGAAGGTAAATTGGATTAAGCTGAAAAGAAAAGTAAAATACAATTTTGCAAGAATCACAATAATTATCGAGTTATTAATGACAGAAATCTGAAGAGTGGGCACACGCCGACATAGATGATTGGAAAAGCGTTGCAACCGCTCGGACCACAAAGCGGCCCAGTTGATCCAACAACTATTGCCGGTGCACGGCGAGGGGAAAGACAACGCGCCGCTATGTGTTTTATTTCGCTGCACCTACGAGGTATATCCAGAAAGTAAGAATATAAGAGCTGTGTAAGACGTAGGGACTTTTTTGTTGCAAAGTTGACGCCCGTGACGTGTAGAGGGGTTCGTAACGGTCAAAATAAGCCATCGAGCGCCTCAGTCAGTCAGTTACGAAATGTCGTCGCTGAAGCCTAATACGTCAACCAGTGCGTCCTCCGTTCGCTCCACCTATAACAGGTGTGAGATTCGTTCAGTCATTCGGTTCCTCACTTTGCGTAACGAATCAGCGGCCAGTATCCATCGCCAGCTCGAAAACTTACGCCAGCTGGAAACTTACGGATCCGAAGTAATGAATCGTCAGAATGTTACCAAGTGGGTTAGGTTGTTTAAGGAAGGCCGTAGACACTCACGACGAAGAAAGGAGTGGGAGACCGTCTGTCATTTCAAAAGAGCTTGTGCAGCAGGTTGAAGAAAAAGTTTGCGATGATCGTCGTGACTCTTGACACCCTTAAAGAAAGATTTCCACACGTTTCACAAAGTCTCCTGAGTGAAATCGTGTCAAAAAGACTTGGGTTTAAGAAATTGTGTGCACGGTGGATGCCAAAAATGTTGACTCCGGAACATCGCAAAAATCGCGTTTCGGCTGCACGCGAATTCCTTGAACGTTTTCAAACTGAGTGAATCCTTTCTCGACTCAATTGTAACTGGGGACGAAACGTGGGTGTGTCACTATACTCCTGAGTCAAAAAGACAGTCTCTGCAGTGGCGCCATACTCATTCTCCATCCTCCAAAAAATTCAAAGTTCAATTTTCAAAGAGGAAAATCATGGCGTCCGTGTTTTGGGACCGGAAAGGGCTCTTGTTGGTCGATTTCATGCCCAAAGAGACCACTATCAATGCTGCTGCAATTGTGAGATCCTAAAGAAGTTGAGAAAAAAAATCAAAGACAAAAGGAGGGGAATGCTGACTCGTTGTGCGTCCCTCCTTCAGAACAACGCCAGACTTCATATCGCCCGGCTCACTCAAGACCTGCTGTCGTTTGGATGAGACATTGTGACTCACCCACCCTACTCCCCTGACCTGGCACCCTCGGATTACCATCCTTTCAATAAATTGAAGGAGCTATTGGATGGACAGCGCTTTTCGAACGATGAGGAAGTCATGCAGACTGTGACAAAGTGGCTTCAGGAGGTGGAGCGAACGGTATACAACGAGGGTATACAAAAGCTAGTGCCCAGACTTCAAAAGTGCATTGACCTCAACGGCGATTATGTGGAAAAATAATAACATATTTTGGCACATACCATGTAAATTTCAATAAAATATATTCATTTTTCGATTTTAAACAATTGTTGTATTCTTACTTTCTGGATATACCTCGTATGTCTCACCATACGGCACCAATAATTACTCGGTCGACTGGGCCACGCTATGGCTCGACAGGCTGCGACACTCCTCCAATAATCTATCTCAACACGCGCTCATTCGTCAGATTTCTGTCATTAATAACTTGATAATTATTGTGAATCTTGCAAAACAGTATAGGACTTTTATGTTTGTCTTAACTGGCTCTATGTCTACACGAGCTCTGCAACATTATTTATGAGACACTCTATATACAGGATATCTCAAAACTTTTGGACACGGGCTCCATAGGGACATAGAGCTAAGTGAGAGAAATAAAAAAGTCCTCTACCATAATGTGAAAATTGTAATAGTCTTTTAGTAATAACTGCGTAAAGTTTAGCGTTTTCCACGCCCAGCGCGACCTATAGACGCTCCGCGGCAAGCTGTGTACGTAGGGGCTAAGCGATAACGCGGCTCGCGCTGACCATCGCGCGACGTCAAAGCGTCAAGACGCCATCACGACAGTGCGAGACGCGTTATCGTTCAGCCCCTATGCACACAGCTTGCCGCAGAGCATCTATAGGCCGCGGAAAGCGGCCTATAGCATCTATGGGCGTGGAAAACGCCAAACGTTACGCGGTTATTACTAAACAACTATTACGATTTTACATTATGGTAGAGGACTATTTTATTCCTCTCACTTAGCTCTATATTCCTACGGAGCCTGTGTACCAAAATTCTGAGACACCCTGTATACAGAGTGTTCGGTAATTAGCCAATCCGAAGTGTGAAGGTAGATTGGGTTGAAACAAATATAAAAGCCCCATATCGTTTTGCGAGATTCGCAATAATTATCGAGTTATTAACACATTGATGGCTGCACATTTTGCTCGTTGACACATTTTGCTGTTATTTAGCGCCAATATATTTCGCGTAATATCTCCTACCATTTAGCGCCGGCACTTTTTGTTTAATTTTTCTTGGTATTTTATGAAAAAACTGCGCTGAATATATCTTTATCATTAAAATTCAATTTTAACTTAAATAATCATTTTTATTTCATTAAATACTCATTATACAAATTATTTACTATCAATTGTCGCGATTAACACAAAATAAAATTACGCACGCACGACGCCAACAGCAAGCGGCAGAGCAAAATCATATGAGCATGACAGCGGCTGGTAACCGATGGGTTCGCGAAATCACGTATATGTGAGAGCGGCCATCAAAATGTTAATTACAGAAATATGACGAATGAACGCGCGCTGAAATGGATGATTGAAGAAGCATCGCAGCCTCTCGGATTACAGCGCGACCCAGTCGACTCAGCAATTGGCAACCTCAACTGTTGGCGGGTCTGTGAAGTTAGCACGACGTTTAAAAAAAAACGATACTAGTTCCAGTAGCACTCTTCATAGTTCTATAGTTCCTGATAAAAAGTAAAAAATGTTCCGCATTTGTAATACCAAAAAATCGAAATTGAAAAAATGTGCTAACTTCCGTTCCAGCACGACAGTTCCCTCTAAAGTTCCAGAAGGCTTTATGTAATAGGCGTTCTGATGAGAGTTCCCGTTAGTTCTAGTCTAGATGCATAGTAATTCCGAATTTCAGTATCAAATTGCACCAAATAACAACATAACATCTTTGAAGCATTGTCGGGCCAGCACGACACTCTACGAAAATGTATTTTCCGACGACTTCCGGCACGTTTGACGACTGTCCTAGTTTGTTCTGCTCGAGTTCTATCCATTTCAATCGGTTTCCGAGAGTGTTCCGACGTGCAAGTATTTTTTTATGAATTTTGAAATTTAGCGCCAGCACGACACTCTACGAAAATGCATCTTGCCGACGACTTCCAGCACGTTTGACGACTGTTCTAATTTGTTCTACTCGAGTTTTATCCATTTCAATCGGTTTCTGAGAGTGTTCCGACGTGCAAGTATTTTTTTATGAATTTTGAAATTTAGCGCCAGCACGACACTCTACGTAAATGTATCTTGACGACGACTTCCGGCACATTTGACGACTGTTTTAGTTTGTTCTACTCGAGTTCTATCCATTTCAATCGGTTTCCGAGAGTGTTCCGACGTGCAAGTATTTTTTTATGAATTTGGAAGTTTAGCGGCAGCACGACACTCTACGAAAATACATCGTGCCGACGACTTCCGGCACGTTTGACGACTGTTTTAGTTTGTTCTACTCGAGTTCTATCCATTTCAATCGGTTTCCGAGAGTGTTCCGACGTGCAAGTATTTTTTTATGAATTTTGAAATTTAGCGCCAGCACGACACTCTACGAAAATGCATCTTGCCGACGACTTCCAACACGTTTGGCGACTGTTCTAATTTGTTCTACTCGAGTTTTATCCATTTCAATCGGTTTCTGAGAGTGTTCCGACCTGGAAGTATTTTTTTATGAATTTTGAAATTTAGCGCTAGCACGACACTCTATGAAAATGCATCTTGACGACGAATTCCAGCACGTTTGACGACTGTTCTAGTATGTTCTACTCGAGTTATATCCATTTCAATCGGTTTCCGAGAGTGTTCCGACGTGCAAGTATTTTTTTATGAATTTTGAAGTTTAGCCCCAGCACGACACTCTACAAAAATGCATCGTGCCGACGACTTCCGGCACGTTTGACGACTGTTCTATGTTGTTCTACTCGAGTTCTATCCATTTCAATCGATTTCCGAGAGTGTTCCGACGTGCAAGTATGTTTTTACGAATTTTGAAATTTAGCGGCAGCACGACACTCTACGAAAATACATCGTGCCGACGACTTCCGGCACGTTTGACGACTGTTCTAGTTTGTTCTACTCGAGTTCTATCCATTTCAATCGGTTTCCGAGAGTGTTCCGACGTGCAAGTATGTTTTTACGAATTTTGAAATTTAACGGCAGCACGACACTCTACGAAAATACATCGTGCCGACGACTTCCGGCACGTTTGACGACTGTTCTAGTTTGTTCTACTCGAGTTCTATCCATTTCAATCGGTTTCCGAGAGTATTCCGACGTGCAAGTATTTTTTTATGAATTTTGAAATTTAGCGGCAGCATGACACTCTACGAAAATGCATCGTGCCGACGACTTCCGGCACGTTTGACGACTGTTCTACTTTGTTCTACTCGAGTTCTATCCATTTCAATCGGTTTCAGACAGTGTTCCGACGTGCAAGTATTTTTTTATGAATTTAGAAGTTTAACGCCAGCACGACACTCTACGAAAATGCATCGTGCCG